CCCCAAAACCCCAAAACCCCTTATGATAGGCTATAAACTTAATAATTGATTCAGGAGTTATTTGGAAAATTAGAAAAATTTTTAATTTAAAAATCATAAAATGGAACCAAAAATGAAAGGACTAATAAGTTTTGTCTCTATTTTACTATTCTGGATTTATTACACTATCTGGATAATGATCTCACCATTTATAGATGCTAACCATCCAATCTAAAGTTACTTTCCAGAGAGGAAATGGGGAATCGCAGTACCAATCTTCATTGGAGTAATATTTTTGACTATTTCCTTGGTCTTTATTGGAGTGGCCTTGCTAATGGACTCAAAGATCTCTGAAGTTGCGAATCGCCGAATGGATGAAAAGCAAAGAGAGGAAAGAGAAAACTAGCGATAAGCTACTTCATCTCTTGCTAAGTATAGAATTTTGAAGACTAACAGAGTCAGTGATGAAATGCAAGTGCAGAGAACAATTAGCAAAGAAATAATTAATGGGATTGAATAGAGTGTAGCAAATAGCAGTGTAGCAGGATCTGTACACAATCAGAGTTCAAGCGATTTACCCCCAAGTTTTGCAGATAAAAAGTAATGAAATTAAGATTAAGGGATATTCAAGCAATATATCTGATAAATCAAATTCTGAACATAATTATTATTAAATCTACCTTCAATCAATTAACTTAATTAAATAATCTTCCTAATCATCTCTTTTTTCTCATCACCATCCTGTAAATGAATTACTACTCAGACTAAAACTAGGACTCCATTGAATATTAAATTCTTAAGTTGAATATCAATTAAACCAGAATTAAATGCCAGATTGGATAATTTGATAAGTGTGCCTAGAGTCCATTGACTACGGACTGCAATTGTTTTTTCTCTTTGGGGAGAAATTTTAGTTTCTAATTTAATCAACAAGTCACATATACTCTATGATTGTTTGCTTTTAGCGATAATTTGTACTCTAACTTAGCTAGAAAAGTCTTCATTTCCATACAATCCATTGATAACATATTATGCCTCAGATAATTCTTTAGGTATTTATGGGAAGTCAGTAACTTTATTAATTGTGTAAAAGGGATTCAAAGTAACAATAGAATCTTTATTCAGGTTGACTGAATATTTTTTACCATTTTTTTCAACACTTTTATCTAGGTCAAATTTAAGGATTCTAGGGATCATCAAGCAAGGAGGCATTAAGAATTTAGGCTCTATGTTCTGCTAAAGTATATTTAAGCAATGCTAGATCTGCCCTTATAGCTAATTAGGATTGTCAAATCGAATTCCTCTTTTGCCAATATTATCTTACAATAGCAGCATTCGAGTTGCCTATAAAGTATCGATAAAAATGAAAAATTTTTAATTACATTTGCTACTAGGTCAGCATACCTTAGTTGCCTGAGACTAAAATTGATTGATATGGATTCATCACTGACACATTCAACTTAATGCCAAATACCAGCTGGATGATATAATATATCTCCTTCGTTAAGCTGAACTTCATATACTTCATCTCTAACATTTTGATATTGCTTATTGATATCAATAGAATGGTAATTCAGATGAACCTTCGACTATTCCTCTATATTGCCTGTATTTTAATAATGTGGGGTATATCCAAGTAAGGGTTATTCTAATCCTGATCTTCTAAACCTCCAGATCTTAGAACCTCTAATCTACAAGGTAAAGTTCTCCTAGAAATCTATGTGGTAATCAGTTAAGTTTCCTTTTCTAGACCAGAAGGTTTCTATTTCACCCATAGTGCTAAAATCAGTAAAATAAGCTCCGAAGTTCATGCCCATCTAGAACGCTAAACTTTTGCAATAAATGTTTCTGAATTCAAGGGAACTGCCAAAGTACAAAGATGCACCACCTCTTTGGTAAGAAACGCAAGCCAAATCTGGATCTTCAGTTTCAATGCTTTTTATGGTCAAGTCTTAATCTTTTAGTGCATTTTTATTGTTCTTTTAACTTTTAACTTTCTATTGATCCTACTTTTGTTTAGGGAACCAGATATGAATGTTTTCAGAGGCTGTATTCTCACACATTTGCTTCAAATCTAAGTCAAACATCTGTTCTTCAACAATTTACTTGAATCTCTTGGAGGAAAATCCTTTGATAACCAACGCCTTTTTAGTAAATATCTTTTCAAAAAACTCCTCTCTTCTCATGGGAAATATTAAAGCTTCAAATAAGTTCTCTTAATTTATTACTTCAGCTTATTTCAGTATGTTTTGCTTAGGTTTAATAATCATTAAGTGATCTAATGACTCCTAGTTCACAGCTTAAATTGAGTAATCTTTGTTATGAGCTTTGCTATTTCTCTAAGATTATATAAGTTAATGCTTTGATTTCGATTTCGATATTTATTTAGTCTTTTGTTTTTATTTGTTCATGTTTATTTTATAATAATTACTATTTCATGAATCACTTATCTATTATGTAACTTTGGGGTTTTGGGGTTTTGGGG